TCAGTGCCCAACACACACACAAACAAATGGGTCATGATCAGTATCCTGCTAATAGCTTATAAATGATTCCAAATGGTGATTTTCGCAGAATACATGAGCTCTTTCTTTAATGATAACAAATTGGTCTGGAGGCCTCAGGTTAGAGAACACATTATCCTTGGAACTTTTGGCCCTTTTCTCTCTCACAGGAACATTCTGGTCTTGGTGGCTGAAAGTTACCACTAAACGACTCTTGTTTCTCACTTTTGCCTTCTTTACTATATAAGGACAAAGGAATTTGAGTGCAGACGGAGTTAAATTTTTCTATTTTAGAAGCTGACCTACCAGTGCCATGATAGCAACCCACTGACACTGGGGCCAGCTGTAATATAATAGAAATGCCTGCACAGTTGTTGGGCATCCCTGGTAGTAAGACCCAATGGGAACCCAATCCAGTTCTCTCCCATTTTGTGGGGCAGCAAGGGGTGGGCAGAGTTTCAAGCCAAGACTCCCAGAATCTAGATCTCTTTTCTTTCACAAATCCATCTTCTGCTCTCTCTGTTCCAGTTGGACTTGGCTATCTCCTTCAGGAATTATCATCTCTGACTTTGACAATTTAGCTTCTGATATTCAACCAACCCGGGATTTGTTCTTTTCACCGTATATCCAATTGTACTCATCTACAAGGCCCAGTTCCATACCCCCCTCAGCCATAAGATCCAGCCAGGCCATCTCCTACACCACACCTCACTCCCAACACACCACCATTTGTAAGTCACTTCCTCATATTGATAGAGCATGTCCAGCCCTCTTGTCCTCTTTAGGTTATAAGCTCCATGATGACAAAGATTGTGAATTCCTTTTCTTTGTAACCCTGAAAATATGTGTGGGTAGACATATTTCATAGCGGAACATAATCTCCAAGACCCACAGAACTCCAGCTTTGTTTGTAAATGGAAGAGAAAGTTAAAGATGGGTAGCGGGTTCTCAGAGACTTGAGATATTAGAAACTTTTATTTGATAGCACTAATTTCAGCCTTCAAACTCTACTCTAACTCTCCTTCAAATCCCTATCCCTGCAAAACTCCACTCCAAACTACAGATACACCGATCAATAGAGACAACCTCATTCTCTGAGGTAGATTCTTGCTTGCAAAGGTATTGACTTGAATACCAGATATCGAATATAGGATATCATGATAGGGTTAAAACACATTCAGTCTTACTTTTCATGATATGCTTGTTGTAAATATTTAATTTATATTAACTTAGTTATCCTCACAACCACCACATGCTATAAGAACTAGTAGTTCCTTTTTCCCAGACCCTACTCCCACAATTTTACAATGTGGTAAACTTAGGTTGGGTGCAAACTCTTGCTACTCCTCCCATTGAGAAATGAGGCTTCTGCCTCCTTCCATGAAACTGAGAAATGTCTGACTGCTTTGAGCAGTAGATGATGGGTGTGACACTATGCCAATCTCCAGACCCAACTTTAAGAAACTGGCAATCTCTGCTTCCTATTTCCTGAAAATTCTCTCTGGGAGCTCTGCACCTCCGTGAAAGAAGTCTTACTGAGAAACCACACGGGTTGTCATGGAGACTACATGGAGAGGGACATAGACCCAGCTGAGCCCAGTGTTTCCAATTCATCCACCCAAGCAAAGGCATAAGGCATGTGAGTGACATCAGACCTTCCAGACCAGAGCAGACACTGAGCAACTCCAGTCAACTCCATGTAGGGCAGAAAATTGCCTTGCTGAGCCCTGCCCAAATTCTGACCCCCCAAAATTTTGAAACAGACACTAAGTTTAACGGGAAAGTTGGTTTCACAGCAGTGGTTAACTATAGCTTACATGATTTGCCCAGGGTCACCTAGGTATATGGAAAAAAAAAACCAGCTAGATTTTAAACCCAGGCAAATCTGATTCCAAGTACATCCATTTAATCATTCTGCTATAGCTTTACCACTGGAAAAAAAAATTGTCTAAAACACACTGATCATTCTGGAGGGAAAACCCCCCACAAGCCTTGCCACTTCTAGCTGTTAGATGATGATGAGGTATGTAATAAAGCCTATGTTGTTTTCTGATTTATTCCAAAAACACTTACTTGAGCACCTTCTAAGTGCCAGACTCTTACTTGAGAATTACCCTCCAGCTACCCACTTTCTTTATCTTATTATCATTATTATTTTTCTTACTCAGGGAGCATCTAGAGACATCCTTCTTAAATAGGGTGAAGACCTGATGCTTGGGAACCACAGGTGTTAGTATTTCAACAGAATCCATGTAATTCACAAGTCTGTACCAAATGATATTATCAGAAAGGCCAAAGCACCAGTTCCTCCCAGGGGCTGCAGCGCTCACAGGAGAGCCATAGCAACTCAAAAAATGTCTGTTCATATTGACACAGTTAATGGTGGCACTGACAGCACTTTGCAGTTTTCTTTTGATTGAAAACCAACATTAACCAAGGCCTATCAGAAACAAATTGCTCAAATTACATTTTCTTAACATATGCTTTAAGAAGGAACCAGGGCATTTTTGAACAACCAGGTTTTTACACTTTCGAATTCATATCCTTATTCTGTTTCTCCTAGGAGGATTTCATTTTAGGATATTCCTGCTCCATCAATGTTATCAGAGCAAAGCAGGACGGAACAGAGTATTGTTGAGAAAAGTGAGTGATGGGCCTGGTGAATGTGAAATTCAGCCTTTGCCAATTCCTTTTTCCCCTTTTTGAAGTATTGCCTAGAGATCAAAGCTTTATGGGCCCACTTTATCCAAGAAAATTCACTAGGTTACACAGGGCGTATTAGAGCTTCTGAGACTGATCTTCTTCACCCAAAGTCTACAATAGGCTTGATGTAGTCTATAGAATGTGCTTGAAATCAGAATAGGCTTGCAGACAAGTCAGGCTATTGAGTTTTTACAGAGGCCATGACAGAGTTCTTATGGCTTGATGGCAAGAACAAAAACATCCAAAACCATTGGAATAAAGTTATTTCCCCTAGCTGGTCTTCCACAGAACATGGGACTTTTTTATACTTCATCTCGGTCTAATTCAATTCTGCTAGTCTGTTGGCTTTCCTCCAAGAGCATGTATTTACACACCTTTTAAAAACAAAAAGCGTCAACAGATTTATAACTCATTTTTATAGCCTTGGTGGAAGCAAAAGGGAAAACATGTAGATGTAATCCAATTATTACTGGACTCAGAGGAAAAGAAACACACACCAGACAGGAGGCAGGTACAGGGCATCTTCTAGCTGTCCATGTCCTCCAAAATGAGAACAGGTTCTATGATATTTAGGGTCATGATCACCGGCAAGACTTTGGCGCTTTGTACCCTACATATCTCCAGAAGCTCTGGCTCTCTCTTACTGTGTGGGAAGACTCACCCAATCTGCTCCCATTTATGCATTTGCTGAAAAAGGGAAAGCCAAAAACCCAGTAATTACCATGGCTTAGTCCCTGGATCCAGGGTATCATTAAATCCTCCTGGGGTCAGTGACAATTTGGCCTTGAAAAAGACTATAAGACCAGCCATTGCTATGAAGAAAAAGCCATTTTCTCCTCTGCTTCCCACAGAGTTAGTGGAATGTATTCTGACAGAAACAAAACAAGGCTGCCAAGACCTGTGCAGACAGAACTATGCTTTCACCAACAATAAATAGATCTGCTCTTGAGCTATAGAGAGTCATAATAGAAATATCTATTGCCTTTTATCTTCTTTGCAGTGAGTAGAGTGAAGTGTCAGGAATTATTGCTTTAATATCAGAGAAAAAGCTATTTTTCTGAGCATCTGTGTAGGTATGCATGAAACAGCACGTGGGACTATGAGACTGTTATGCTAACCGGGTTCTCGTAGCCTTTCTGAAACATAAAGTTGGCCTGATAATATCAACAGTGCGTGCAGCTTCAAATCATGCCTGTGGAGTCATGGAAGAGGTGTCTGGACATTTTTGCTCAAATGAAAGGAAAAAGGAAGACAACACATTTACCTTTACCTAATGCACATAACTTAATTCAGAAGAATGAGAACACATGGGAGTTTATTGATTATTGGCTTTAAGTTTACAATGCCTCCTGAAGTCAATGGAAGGGTGGTATTAAAGACTCCACCGAGTTCCTGGATAATGTCTTAAAACTAAGAAACAGAAAGGAAAGAACTGGTTTCTGCTGAATTTTCTACAAACACTAACTATGCTAGGGGTAATTTCCCCACAAGCAGTTGGAATGTCTTATTTTATGTTAGAGCATTTAAGGCTAATAACTCGATTAACCTTCTACCCCCTACTAACTAGATTTATGAAATGCCAAGGGAGTCAGCAGAGCATTAAGTTTTAGCTCGAGTATAATTACTTTTAAGGAAAAAAAAAAAACAAAAACATTACCACAGAATAAGGATTTTCTACATAGCTAAATTCAGACCTTCAAATTTTCTAATGCAATTAGGATCTTGGTCAAATACAAAGGAAATGATATGGACAAAAAATAGCATGTAATTAATCAACACTGAATATCAAATACAAAGACTGCATTTAATCAGGATTAGTTGAACCTCTAGCTTCAACTGATTTAATACTACCTATTGGTTTCAAATATCAACGACTCATGTTCCAGCAAAGCCACTGAGGAGATGTGAACCAAACTGAACTAGGGTATAGTCTTTCTTGTGATAACAAATTTTCCTTTCCCCTTTTTCTCTTTTTGTTATTGAAAAGACAGGTAATAAAATAAGAGGAAAGAGCATTTTACACTAAAGGTGTTGTGCATTGCTCATTTTGAGTAATAAATATAGAAATAATAACCCATGAATGCACATGAGATTCTGTAACTTCTTCAGCAGGACTTTGTCCTTCTCCATTCCTGGGTCTTAGTACTGTGAGTATCTGCAGGCATCCTTCCTATAAATATAGTAGTTCAGACTCTCTCACTGTGTAGCAGCCCTGACCATAAGAGCAATGTCTCAAAGACAAAAAAGCAAAATCAATTCACAGTTAGAGAAAGGCTTACCTGAATGCTGGCTGTTGAGCGATTCTTGCGGGTTGTGGTGGTAGCCATGGTGGTGGTGGTTTCCATGACAGTGGTGGACATTTCTGGTGGCATGGCAGTCGTCTGTGTTGTCCCCAGAATTGATGGGACTTCTCCCACCAGCCGGACACTTCCATTGATTTTAATATTGGGGTTGTTCTCAGCCGCCATGTTCAGTACTTTCAAACCATCATAATAGAGCCCAGAGAGCTGGCCTTGGAAGAGGCGTCCTTTGTCCTTTCCACCAATGGCTATTTGCGCCTGGGTGTTGAAGATGGTTAACTGCCGGCCTAGTGGGTTGGGTGGAGGAAACATCATTATTCCTATACATTTTTCTCTTTTTTGACTTGCCTGGTCTGAATGAACCAGGTATAAAAACAGGTTTCCTTGAGTAATTGAAGGGGAGCAAATTAGATAATAAAAGTTCAGTGCAGGTATTGGCAAGTAACATTTCACTGTGTTTATCTCTTCCACTGTCTAGCTGAACGTCCTAGATAATCTGAATAATGGAGTCTCTATCCCTTTATTGTGATGAAGGAGAACCTTGGTTCAATGATGAATAGTATTTCAGTCTTCTCAGGTAAGTAGTTGTGGACAACAGAAATAAACCTCTAAATTAGTTGATGATAACAATAAATTAAACATACCTATTGCACTAATTTGTAACCTACAAAGTAACATTACTTTGTAATGTTTCTTTGTAAAAAGAATTATATATTGCAAAGAAAAACTTTGTGAGGCACTCAGAACACTGAGTTTAAAAACCAGGTCTGATGATTATATTAAATTAGCTGAAATTAGATTAAATTCCAATTAAGAGATTTGGATCCATTGCATACTTATAAAAATGAATATTTAGTAACCAAACACCATATTTTCTAGGAATCTTTATAGTACATAATATTCTATCTAGACTTGCTGTTTAATTAACATCATGACAAATAAATTCTTATCTCTATTAACATTGAAGTGAGGAGATTATGGTCACACAACTAAATCTCTCCCTAAAATATGAAAAATAAGTAGGCATTGATAATGTTCCTGGGCTGGGGGGGAGAAGAGGATGACATTCCAAATCAGTGTATTTTAAAAGGGGGGGATAGGTATTAATAAAAAGAAGCAATACATAAAAGTTATTAAGATGATATTGAGATATCTAATGGGTTGAGGAATATCAATAGCTCACCTGACTTGAAGAACCATTTATGCTTTTGTGAACAGAAAATTCTCAGAATGAAATCATGGCAGAATAGAGTTTAGAATTGTGGAACTCAAATTATCTTCTTTCCAATTACATCTAGATTTTTCCCAGAAGAAAACCAAATAGCTTTGTCAGCCTTTTATGCTATTATTTCTCCAGATTATTCCCTTCTGCTTTTCTATATAGAGAAGGCGGAAAAACTTACTAATGGAATTAAATATATCTTGTTCAAATTTTTCTACATGTTAGTCAGTGACCAAACAATGCTCCACTCATTCTTAATCTAATCCTCTGAAATATTTTAGGTATAAATGACTGGAAACAATCAATATTCTGTTATTCTCGCCTGCTTAATAAAAGGGAGTATATTTTTAAAAGATTGCTTCTGCTCCACAATCTCTAATATGAATAGAGGCAAACTATGGTATTTGGGCTCTTAACCTCTAATACTCTTACATGGTCTTTTAAGTCTATATGTTCTGATTAGCTCTATCCTTGCATTTCTGGTGTATAATGTGGAATACCTTCTCAATGTATAATAATGGATGAAATGGAAGAGGCAGGGAAAGGAAAACATACCTGCTCAGAGGGAACTCTTTATACAAGAGTCAACTCTACTCATTGGGTAACTCTTGAGGGCATATCAGTCAATATGATTTATAAATAATATGCCTTGGGAATCTTTGAGCACTGCAGAATGGGGGATTGGCCAGAGAATTTTGTTATAGTGAAGAGGATCTACACTCTATAAAAATATCTGGAGCATGGAAATGGCAACTGCTGGCCTTAATGGTAACAGAGTTTCCCAGATCCTAAGGTTGCAATCAAAATAGATCTAATAGATTTCCACTATTTCCCCAGCAATTCTTTCAGTGCCCTGTGCATACATCGTTGCTGTCCTTTGGCCTCTCATTTCTCATACAACAGTTGGCAGAAAGGTCAAAGCACAATAGCACTGGAGCTCATATCTTTACTGTTTATTTATTTATTTTTGACAACTTTTCCTGAGAGCCCTAAGCTTACTGCAAAAGAAATGTCATGATGGAAAGGCAGAATAACTATGCCCTCAACCTTACATAGGCATTTGGGGCAGCTTAAGTTAATAAATAAGAACAAGCTGCATAAAAGGAGATTTCTAGGACTAAAATTCAGTACCTAAACTCAGACAACCCCAATACCAAGCTACAGCTTTCATTCATACAACTGTTGGCCAGCCATAATGTTTATTCATTTCCTTTTTTCTGCATGTAGCACAGTACTGATGATCGTCAGTTAATGACTCTGATTATAGTTAGATTATGAAACTATTTCTAATATTCCTGGAAGTATTTCACATCCATAATGGTCCCATCTATTTTCCTGGTGATATTATTCTGCCAATGCTTAAAAATAAAAAGAGAATCAAGGAGAATTGAAATGCAGCCTGAATTACACTGGCTAGAAATTACATATCTCTTTTATTCCAGTTGTCATAGTTCACTCCATATAGTGGTCTTAGTTTGTTCAAAACTGACCCAAGCATGGAGAAAGGAAAGACATTTCCTGGGATGAAAGATTAAGCCACTGCTCCACTTCTGGCTATAGTTGCTTTCTCAGAAAGATCTGACTAACCAGTTCTTGAGATTAAGACACTAGTTGGGTAAAACAGGGAAGAGGATGTCTATGTTTCAATTCTCCATCATGCTGTAGGAAATATTTGAAGTTTTGTTTGCTCTTCTCTTTGATGGTCTATTACTTGCTAGATATTCTTTAATTCTATTTAAAGTTCCTTTCCTAGCCTTGGGTTAGGGGGTTAATAGTAAGACTGGTCATCACTGAAGTAATAGTGGGATAATCTCAGATTCCTGCTATCTCTTCCTGTGATCAATTTATCTTTCTCAGCTAAGCAGGAGTAAGTGAACAAGCAAGAGAGAACCATCACTACCCTCTCACTCTGAAGGAGAGTAGGACTGATGAGAAAATCTTATCATTTGCCTAAGCTTTCTCCAAATCAGTGCCGGCCTCATTATTGTCAGATTATGATCAATCATTTGTTTGTGTGTGATCATGATATTTATATACCAATTTGAGAACTGTTCTATTATCAATAATAAAAAGCAGTTATAAAACAAGGTCAGAACTTGTAGCATGTTACTTTTGGTTTTGTTTTGGGTGCCCATCCTCTTGGAAGTCATTAATTATTACCTCATCTATACACCAAATTCACCTACTGCTTAAGTGAAATTTTTGCATATCTCCAGTCAGTGTTGCAGAAAGACTAACTAATTAAACCTCAGAACACCCTTGGGGGACAGGCAGTATTATTTATCCTCTCCTCTGATGGGAAATCTGAGATGTAGAGAGGTTAAGTGGATTGCCTAAGGTCAGGAAGGAAGTCAATAGTAGACAGAGCCAGGAAACAGACTGGGGAACGCCGTGCGTGCCCCAGACCTCTTCCCCAATGACAGAAATCACTCCAAAGAGGCATTGCAAGCACTTCCTAACACCTCTGCCTGGTCACCCTTCTTTCGTTACCCTATTTCACTCCTTATCTTTACAAAGTTTGTCTTGTTTTGTTTGGCTTTGCTTTGGTATGTATCTTCCATTTCTTTTGAAGGAAAAGTTAGCTAGACAGAGGAAGGGGTAAAGCAATAGAATGAATAGATGTTACTCACCCAGATTACAAAAAAATGTGATTTCAGTTAAAATAATATAGAGGAGAAAACTTTCTAGTTTGCAAATAATTCATTTCAATATCACATGCACATATATAAACACATACATATTTGATTCAGAAATGAGAATGCCTCTCCCCATCCCACCTGAACCTCCCCATCCCAGCCCCTCAGTTTTGTTGTGTTTGAAAGCATCCTTTTATATGAAAACCAACTGATAACAATGCTATTGTAAGGAAAACTAAAAGCCTACTAATAACTTTATAATGGTTTATACAAATGAAAACGCCTGGCATGCTATTAAACTGAGACTTCAAAAGGCAATGAAGTAAAATAAAATATTATTAACATAAAATTGAAAGAAACAAAAAATTCTCTCAGGCACATGAGACTCAGACATGCATCTAATTTTCATTTCCTTTTTTAAAATGTAAGGCAATATCATATTTAAATGTTAAAGGGACTTTATAAGCTGGTGATTACTAGACAAAATTATTTGCTTTTTAGAGTTATTCTTAATTTAGTTTTAATTAGACCACATATGTTAAAACAGGGCCAACAGTTAAAACTCAGCGAGGATTTTCTGTGTTTAAAGGTGTGACTGTTTTCACCCTTTAAAACTGTAGTAGTCATTTGTTTTTTAAGTTGTATACTAATGTACCCAATTACTTTTTTATATATAACTCAGTGGAATTGCTATATATTTTAAAAACTTACTTAAGGTCTTGAGACAAGAGAAGCTTATAGTGGCTCAGACAAGAACAGAATAAATAGCTTCTTAAAGGTAGAAACTTTTCTTCATGAAAGACTATAGTTTACATCCCAACACATAAAAAATTCTAACATCAGGTGTAACCACAGCTCTCTTTTATTAGCCGAGTGGTTGTTTTCTTCAGCAAATTGGAACTGCTGTTTTGCCTCTCATGAGCCTTTCATTTTCCAACTCATTGTCCTAACCACTCACACTTGGTTGCATAAATATCAAATATACAAGGGTATCACACAACCAAAGTGTAAAATAGGTTTGTTTCTGTGTTTCGTTCTGGTCAGTAATCAGGACACAATTAACCTCTTATGAAATACTTTTGCCTCTGTAAGTTGGAATCTAAAGGCAAAACATCTTTCTCTTTTTTTTTCTTTGTTTATAAACAAATATTTTTAAAAATTGCTCCCCTTATAACATTTATTTTGAGCAGTTTAAGTTACAAGAGTCTGTAACGTGTGTGTGTGTGTGTGTGTGTGAACCATGCTACAGATAGTAAAGCCAAAACAGCCTCAAGATGTAGTTTAAAAAGTACTTTTGAAATTTCTTTAGAAAGCTTTGGTATAAGAGGTAATTTAAAATAAATTAACAAAGAATGTCATGCAGTGGTTAACTTGCAATAATACATTTTCTTTTTTAGAGGTTCCTGGAGTTTTTTGTTTGTGGTTGTCATGCTGATAGCAAACGAGATGTTAGTCCCTTTAACTGTATTTTAATGGCAATGTATTATAGCATGATTTATCAACATATGGCAGGTGGAAGCTGACACAAATTATAATGAAAATTAAAACAGTCATTTATGCAGCAGGCGATTATCATTTAAGGAACATTTATTTGCAGGCTTTAAAAATGAGGGTTTAGAATCAAATGAATTTAAAATGAAAGTTTTAATGACGGTTACCTTTTTCCTGCAGCCACTCCTCTACGGGCCGGTTATATTTGAAGGGGATTTTCTGTTTTACCATTTGGAAGCGTTCATTATCAGTGTTGCCTTTAAAGTTTAAAAAACAGCTTAAAGAACAATCTGCAAAGTCAATAAGTCATTAAAAAACATCCTATTTTGTTGGTTTGTTTTATGAAGTTTTTAGAGATAGATATCAATTTATCTTTAGTAGAGGTGGAGTTGAAGTCACTCTGACCTTGACTGACAATTTTGACATCAAGTTGGTCTTGGCTATGCAGTGCTCCATCACATGTGGAAAATGTGGTATGGGATGGGAATCAGTAAGGGGTTTGGCCCTTTACAGAAATGGGTTACCTTCACCCTTTTCCACCTCGCCCCAGGTACATCTTAATTGGGCCAATGGAGGCACGAGGAGGATCTCCCTGAGCTCTGAGTACTTCACCTGCCAGATCTGCTTCATAGTGAGGGAGGGGACCCTCAGTGTCTCAGTCATGCATGCTTGAGTCTGGTAAGAGATATCAGAAGCACAGGCCATGCATCCCTTATTCTATACTCTAGTGCCTACAGCTGCTCTACCTTCTGGCACTGGGGAGCCGTAGCAGACAGCTTAAGCTCTGATGATCAAGGGACACTCCTTATTCCATGAAGGAGGCCCCAGCATCCCATCACCTATGTTAAATAGGTAGAGCGTTACACACAGCTCTTGATGTCTCTACCCCGTTGTCCATATTTATATATATCTATAAGCAGCATCTACAGATTTTGAGCACCTATGCTTTATTATTACTAATAAATATAGGCTTTACATATTTACCTTTATCGTTCTCTCTTTCTCTCTTATCTTCCTGTGAAAGGTCCTTCCTGAACAAGCATCCATTCACAAAGCCTGTCAGGGACAACTCTCCCATGCATGAAATATCTAATTAGTTTCAAACTTGAAACATAATGCATTTAACTGCCGGTATGCTCTCTTCTTCATTTCATAACTGTTACCAACCCCGGATGGTTTCTATAATTAGAACAGAGCTGGAGAATGGTGTTGTGGAAATACACCCCTAAGGAATATGCTTCAAATTACAAAATAATGAAACTGTGCTTTGGGAACTGTTGTATCTTATCAACCAACCTCAGAGTCATCAAGCAGAAACCAGTGAATTCTAATTCATTACTTCTGACTCACAGCCCTATATTAGAACTTAGGGAACCCCATTCTAAATGATCAGCATTAAAAGCGAAATCAAAATCTCAAAACAGGTGGCTTGGAAACCATTTACAAAAAAATGTCTTAAAAGCCAGAAAGAATATTGGAATTCAGTATATCATCAGGCCACGTGCACAGAAGCTTGCGATAGCATTTCAACCTCAGGGCCACCTCCACATAGGAGTTATCACTGGCAGATTTCCCCATGTGAGGAAACACGCACCTGCCTTCCATGAGGGTAGGACGGGAAAAGGGTGGCAGTGTGCAGACATGTCTGCAAGGTTCCCCATTCATTTCTCCTATGAATAAATTATTCTGTGAAGTCGATCCATTATTCCCCCAGGAATAAAACAACAACTAAAACTCATGAGAGAGGCAAGTATGGATCTATTTCCAGACTCCATTATGGGACTCTAAATGGTGGCATAAAGCATAATATATCAACACATTGAAGGATAAAATACAATGAGTGGATAGAATAATAAACAATATTAGATTAGAGTGTATAAGTTAAAAAATTTCCTCAAAGTGTTATTTTTCACACACAAAAAAAGAGGGGCGCACACTAAGAGAAAAAAATAAAAAGGGCAATTTAATTTTTTGGTGTTTCAATAAGCCCATAGAGAAAGAAGTTAGTTGTATTTTTTAATGTGGCTACGGATTAGAGATAGATCATTACGATGATCCTCCCTGGCAGATCTGAGTCCTCAGCAGCCTATTAATCCAAAATAATCCATCAAGCCATGGGTAAAGTTTCATGTATTCATAGAAAAGGGGCACTTTTTTTGCAAAGAATATACATCTATAACTTATGATCTTACCCTAAAGCAGACAAACCTCCCAAGGGATGCCATCTTCATAAGCTTTGACCTCTCTCAAGTTTTAGTCATGACAGAAGAGTATACTCAGACATGGCAACTGGGTTGTGCCAGATTCACCTGGAATACATTCCATTACTTTGGGTTTTCTGTAACTGTCATTGCTGGCTACAACATTAAATATAGTAATGATCTTCGTTTTACTTACTGTGCAGTGGATTAGTGAAATCAATAGCAAATATAAAGCTAAATATGCTTAGTAATATTCAGGGAAAAAGAATAAGGAACCGAAGTTCCAAATGATCAGAGTTCTATATGCAACTAGTTGATGAATTAAGAAGCTGCGTTGATTTACTTCCTCCAAATACATAGGGCACTTGCTCCTCTTAAGCATCTCCTCCTCTCTATCCACTCTCTTTCAAAAATAAATCTCCATGAGAAATCACTTGGGGACACAGGATAGGCTTAGAAAAAGGGGAAACGATGTGAGGCAATCAACAAGTGATATGTGGGAGGACAGCATAGCCACAATTCAACATTATACCCTTCAAAAAGTGAAAGCGAGAGAGTCGTTCTTCTCCACCTCAGCTTTAAAGACATTTAGAAAAGAGTTTTAAGTTTTCCACACCAGATTGATAGTATCTGTCACTAAGGATAGCGATCTTGCATACCGTTAAAAGCCGTGAAAGATGGACGGTCATTTGGAAAACCAAATTGGTTTAAATTGCCACATTAACATTGTTCTTAGTCTCTTTTCATGTTCTTGTTGGTTTTTATTTTAATTTATCTCAAACATTAGAGAGAACTGTTTTAGAAACATGTGCATAAGAATGAGTTCATTTGCCCCGAGCCCCATTTGCTAGACTGATTGAAGAGCAAAATATAACCTTCTAAATATAAGAAGTCATGCATGGGAACCACTCCAAAAGCTGAGCAAGCCTCATCAAATTCATATACATTCGTATTAAATCCTTAATAACATTCAGCTGTACAGATCATATAGCAACCGATGTGAAAGTTTAACAAAGAGTGAAAACAATTCTTCAACAGAAAGTGACACTATCCTCAAGAAAGGGGGGCCTTGTGAATAGTAATGTCATAAAGTCATTAAGAAGAGGCATGTGCGATTTACTAATTAGACAAAAAATGTAATGGGCTCAGTTCTCACCATTCTGAGAAATCTTTAAGTTGCACAAAGAGATCTCCAAATTGATAGTTCTTAAATTACTTATATGACTTACTGACATTCACTTATATGGGACTAAATTTTAAAAAAGATATTAGTCACATTTTATTCTACTTAAAATAAATTTGTGTATATCCCCATCTAATTTTGATCAGACATTGATATTATTATACCATTGGCCTCCTATGGTTATTTGCACTTGTGCTATTGATTCTATTATCATGTATTTCAACTCCTGGAGACACATACAACATGCACTGTTGAATTATAAGAATTGTGAAGAGCAGACAGACTACTCAGAGGTGAGATTATTAAAGCCTAACTGGTTCATACACAGAGCTCCCACAGTTATGCAGGAAAATTTCATGTTTCTTGCACTTGGAGGAACCCACTTGGGATAAAATGGAAAGAGAACATAAGAAGATAAGACAAGGAAATCAAGTATATCCTTGAATAGTTCTTAATACATCAGTATCTCCTTATGGTCCCAAAAGAAAATCTGTAATTTGTTAGCAGCTCCAAAGAAGGAAATTCTTCCAGTTGAAGAACTGAAAGAGAGGGAATTCTTGTATAACACAGAAAATAACTTTTATAACAACATTTTCACACTCTATTTGTCCAAACATAAATTCTATTCATTAGACATTATACTAAGTTTTCTCTAAAAGATAATCAATACAGCATAGGAGCTAAGACCATGGGCTTTAGAGTCAATCTTGGCTTTGAGTTCTGACTTTGTCATTTATTAGTTATGTGTGTGACCTTATACAAGGCACTTAGCCTTCATTTCCGCATTTCCCAATTTACCATAGGGTTTGGCATAGGTTAATAAATAGAGCATATGCAAAACCTGGGGCCCAAAACCCATTCATTTTATTTAAACTACTATCATTGACATGATTCAACTCTTTCCTAATGGAGTCAAGAGAGCACATTGGTTCCATGGTATGCTTCCATCCTCTCAGAATTTTATCAGATCCCCATTCAAAAGAAAAGGTGATAATATTCCATGTGTCCCCACAAAGTTTGTCATTCAAAGATCAAAGATCAAAGAAAAGAAAGCATAAGAAATATCTCCTAAATCCCCTCAGTGCTGCTTTTTATATGTGGTGTCTTCTGGAATATACTCAGCTAATCCCATTTCCAAAACCAAGTGGGTTTCTAAACCCATTGGAAGTAAAAGAGCAATTCAGGCATTGACAGTTGTGATTTCTAGGTCCAGCCTCAGGTAATGATATACTGCTGCAAAGTTGATGAAGAGTGGATTAGAGGTTCTGGCAATTTACACCAGGCTGGCAGAAAAATGCTTTCTTGCAGGTAGACTATTAATACCATCTGAAATACTGTCAAACACGTGGACATGCTAAAAGGAATATAGTAACAATATTAACTTGTGTAAACTTAATGCCAGAGGTATTTCTGCATTTTGGTTTGAGTCCTGGAATAAAGGAAGGAAAGTTTTCTTTATTGCTTTGTTGACACTAAAAAATAATAATAATAATAAGAGTATGGGTCTAATGAACAGTCAAAGAATAAATATTATATATTGGAGCCAGAGGCAAAAGGAAATAGATGTGAGTAAACTTAAGTAGTAGAAATTTTCAGAGGTTTTACAATGTCTCTCTCCCCAAAGAACATTTTGTGAGTTTCAAGGCAAATATAAGACACTAAAGGAAAGGGACTGAGGAAACTCTCTGAGCTTGGCTCTGGTCTTATACTTGGCATTGACCCAGACAAACACTCTTAGATTCAGAAAAGGAGGTTATTGTACTACCCAAAGGGCACCTAGAATGTTTGGCCACTTGTAAGTGATGGATGGACCTCAACAAAGAACTAATATCTTATATTTATAAATGCCTTTAGACCATGGAGCTCAAAATGC